ATATATATATATATTTTTGATACTTGAAGAGAACTATGGAGACGTGGCCTCCTCCTGAGCTTGATAGCCAGTTGACCGCAATATCTAGACAAAATAATTCCGACAACAAAGAAACCGACAGAAGTGATCAAGTTCGATGTAATGACAAGTTGCCGGAGTCCTTTTTGAACGAGAAACATCTGGTATAATTTCTCCATGCAACTGGAATGTAGGGACTAGTGCTGTTTATGCTAGGCTTGGATTGCTATTTGTTACCTTATTTTAGCTTCCAATCACTTATTGTAATTTTGACACTTCTTTTATCTACTTGACAAAAGGCATCTTTGGGTTATCAAAGCTTCTGGAAGAACTTGGGTGAGCTAGCAGTTCAGGGAAATAGGAACATGGATGCAAAGTCATTGCTGGACTTAGAGGAACTGCAAGATAAGGAACTGGAGGATGCACAGGAGCATCGTCGCCAGTGCGAAGTTGAGGAAAGAAATGCTCTTAAAGCTTATAGAAATGCCCAGAAGGCTTTGATTGAAGCAACAGCGAGATGCAATTATCTCTATAGCAAAAGGGAACTTTATTCTGCTCATCTGCGAAATCTGATGATGAATAATTCAAACCTATTTTGGTCCTTCAGATCTGATGATGAGAACGGAGCTGCATTAAACTTTTCAAATAATATACCTGAGCTTAATATGGATGCGTTGCCCGCATTAAGTAGTCAAGTGCGTAATGCAAATGATGCTTCCAATAATGATGGGAGTGACCTGAATGTCCATCCTGCCAATGATGATACTCAATTATCTAATCTGCACACGGAGAGAGAAAAATTGCCATCTGAGCCTTGCAGTGAGCCTGATGGTAGTACGTCAGAGACTCACAATAAAGATGGTATAGGAAGTGGTACGTGCTTCCCATCTGACAATTCTAGTTTAGAGACACGCATAAAAGACAGTGAAGCAAATGGTGTCTGCTCCCCATCTAGTGATTCAAGCATGTCAGTTGACGAGAATGAGGATGCGCTTCAATGTAGTATCAAATCTAGTAAAGACAATCTAGAGGTGGGAAAGGACATGAGCAGCGGTCAAGAAATGCAACTATCATTTGATAGCTCTCACGACTCTCTGCTTCTCGAAGCATCATTGAGGTCTCAACTTTTTGAAAGACTCAGAAAGAAAAGTCTGTCAAAGAATAGGGAATCTAGCCAGAGCATGGTACCTGTTGATAAAGGAAGATCAGAAAATGATGGTGCTGGGAAAAAGAGGAAGAGAAGTGCTAGGGAGAAATCTGAGACAATTTTAGGGACTGTACTGTTGTCTGGTGCAAATAAAGATAGCCACTCTGAGCTGCAAGGTACCTTTCTGGATTTTGGAACTATTTAATTTTATATGTAGATAATTGGTGATTTTTAAGTTGTGGAGACTGATTTTATTTTATTGCTAGAGTCTTGTCTGGTTTTCTGCCTTATTATTATTTTTTCAGTTCAAGTAAATGAAAGTTTGGCAATGATTTGTGTTATAAAAGCTATCCTTCCTTTGAGATACATGGACATGGTGTATCGTATGGACCCTGTGCTTTATTTTCCAAGCATCCATATTTGTACTATCAACCATTATATCTCATCGAATATACTATCTATTTCTTTCTTTTTTCTGCGTTGACAATTAGCCACTTTTAACAAGCATATAAGAAACAAAATACTATAATAAATGGCTTTCAAATGGTCCTCAGTGCGGAAAAGGTTAATAACAATTGCTTGCTACAACAGCCCACACCTGGTAAAGATTTAGACTCTGGTTGACATGTCAATTCAATGATTGCATACAATTCACATCTTTTCTTGCACTGTACTTTTGGCTGTGGATTTGTCATCTAGGCTGTCAACTGTTTCTCAAGAATCGTTCACCTTTCCCTCATCTGCAGCCGACAGTTTTTGAAGCTATACATATGAATTTCAGTAGTGCAAGTCAGTGTGTTGTGATACCTCTTACATGGTTCATTGGGGCTAAGAGGAGTTCACAGACTTTGAAAGGGAGTTATTTATTCATCATTGTATTTGGGGTCTGTGGATTCCGTCTTTCTGTGCCCCAAGGCTATATGTTGCTTAAGAAGCCCATGCCAACTTCTGTGAGATGGGTGGATTGTTGACAGATTTGTTTGTGTTACCCTGTCTATTTCGTATATGGAGCTTAGGCCATCATATTAGCCACATTTATATCTTTGTTCTGTCGACACTGAATTTATTATACAAAAGAGCTTTTCTTTGTTTGTTTGAAACTCAATTTTATCTCTCAACTTTGCACGTGCAAAATGTTGGCCACTATCTTTTGTATGGGATGACTATATTCATCATTGGTTCTGTTTACTTATCCATTTTTTGTAGGGTGAGGTAAAGGGATTTCATACTGCTAGGGTTTTGCAGGGGTCAGTTAGAACACAATCACATAGTTCCAATCCATCAACGGTGGATTAGTGACCATTAAAAAAGATTGTTTTTAATTGTTCAGGATGTTGTATAATTCTTCTTTCACAAAGTTTTTTTTCACTGATTTATGCTTGTTTCATCCTTGTAGCAAGAAGAATATAAGATTAAATGTACCATCTTAGGATTGAACATCCCCGTTTCCTTTTTCGTTGTCTGCAAATAATCCCTTTTCCAAGAGAGATTTATTCTACCCAAATGTACCTTCCTTGAAGCATATGGCATGACCAGCCAAGATTCTTGATTTCCTGGCAGACTCAAGTCTAAAAATGAGTTGTTGTCTAAAAATGTGAAGTTGAATCAAATATGCACTTCCTCTCAACTCTCTTTTAAAATTCTATTATAATTCAAATGGGAACATCCTGCTTGATAATTTGATATCACTTTCCAGTTGTCTGAAGGATCCAGACATTTAATAATATTACGAGAAAATTTCTTCTGCTGTCAGTATGTACTCCTTGTGTCGTGAGATTTTGATATGCTCAATTTGATCCGAAAGACATATATGCTCCTAGGTTGAAAGTTCTATGTATTGTTGCTTAACCCTTTCTTCTCTGTAGCAAGTTATTGGTTTCTTCCGCTCCCCACTGTCAGTACAAGTTCTCACACATTTTTGATTTACCTGTATGTTTGAGAAGTACTCTTCTAGTCATGCAATTTTTAGCTGGTTATCTGAATAGTTAACTGTTCTTCTGTAGGTCAACAATCAACAATTTATGTTGCTCTATCTTCTCCTGTTGTGAAGAGTGTAATCTGCCACCTGATGGTTGCTGAGCCCAAAAGTTTTCAGATGCTGACCAGAAGTCCAGATTTAGCTAGTCTTCGTGTTAACGGTGGAAATGACAGGACCCCTGTCCATAATAAAAGCAACCGAAGCATATTGTGTCAGGGTCCAGTTGAAGTGCCTACTATGGATAGCTGCTGTGGACAGATTGGTTCTTATTTTTGCAATCTTGCTATTGATCCATTTTGGCCACTTTGCATGTATGAACTCAGGGGGAAATGCAACAATGATGAATGCTCCTGGCAACATGTTCAAGACTACTCTATTAGCAATACGAAGAATGATGCCTCTAATAAACCTGGTAATAATGCTGTTATAAATTCTTAAATGTAATGGTAAAGATTCATCATATTGCAGTAATTTGGGAATATATATTCGTGTAGATCTTCAGGCTGGATCACCATCCTGGAGAGGACCACGTCTTGCTAAGTCTCTAAAAAATCTTGTTTTGGCTCCTCCTACTTATCTGGTTGGCTTGGATGTGCTCAAAGCTGATATGCGGTATAATTCCGTTTTATCTCGAGACAATGGACAGTGCTGGAGAAAGTGTTTCAGTGCTTCCATGGTTCTTTCGAGTCTGCTTCTAATCGACTTGCCTTTCAATGAGCCGTTCTTGCATGGCACTGAAGCTCGTATAGAAGTTCATGGGGCTTGGAATAGGCAATCATTTTATTTTCACAGTAAAAATGGTAAAAAGGTTTGTCAAAAAATCCTATCTTTCGTATTAAAATCATTCCAGTAAAATGAAAATGCTGTGGTAATGCATGATCAACAATATCACATTTTCTAGGCCTTGAGCTTGACTGACATTTTTCGTTGTGCTCCAGGCATTTATACTCTCCTGAGTTCCTCTAGAAAAGTGCGTGTACATGTCTATGTATGTGTCTGTACATAGATGCCTTCATTTTTATGCTTGGATTTTGGTGTATCCATCTTTATGCATTATGGCATATCCACAAGTGGCTTGTAAATTTTCATAAAACCTAAGTTTTACTCCAGCAGCTAAAAGTCAAGTCTACTTCAAGCTACCTCTTCTTTTCTTTCTTTCTAGCTTTGATTTCTTTCTCCTTGTTTCAGTTGATTGTTACTTGAACTTCTTTGAACTCTTTATACTTGTTCGGTCCTTTGTGTTCTAAATTTCATTTAAGATGAATCGTTGTTTCTGACTTTCCTTCTTGCTTGATGTTTACTTAGAGTAAAGTTGATGGATATTTTGCTGATAATGACCAATCCCTGGAAATGGCGTTTCTTCATCTAAATCAGGAGGCTGACAAACAAAAGGGCCGTATAGAGGTGATTTTTTTGCCTATATCAGATATATTATATTTGCTTTTTTATTAGTAGGTTGGTTTATATTTTAGCTAACTCTTTTTAATTTAAATTTACAGTCTCTTAAAGTGATTGCTCGAGCTCTCGAGTCCAATGCAACTTCCCCAGTCCTTTGGATTATTTATTTACAGATTTACTACTGCAATCAGAAAACGATTGGAAAGGATGACTTATTCCGTTGTGCAGTATGAATTGTGGCTTTTTACCTTCATCTACAATTGTGTGCATTGAAATTTTCAATTTTATAAGTTTTGTCTTAGCTCCACCATCTCTCAAAGAAACATCCTGATAACTGTCAATTTTCATAATATTTTTCTTTTAAAAATGTGTTACTTTACATTAATGATCATTTCCGGCACTTTATTCTGATTTGCAGGTTGAACTCAACAAAAATTCCTATGAACTCTGGCTTATGTACATTAACAGTCGAGAACAGCTTATTGATAGGTTAGCTGCATATGATGCTGTGCTCTCAGCCCTCTGCTGCCATGTATCTAATTCTGACAGAGATGTTAGGCATGCCAGTGAATGCATCTTGGACATTTTTGTTCAGATGATGAATTGTTTGTGCATGTCTGGGAATGTTGAAAAAGCAGTTCAGAAAATTTATGAGCTCTTTCCTACTACCACGAAATCAAACGATTCTCTCAGTTTCTCTCTGACTGATATCACTGCCTGTTTCACTATCAGTGATGCATGTATCTTCTGGGTCTGTTGTGTGTTCTTAGTCATATACAAAAAATTGCCCAATTCTATAGTACAGAGGATTGAGTGTTGGAAAGAAATTTCTGCCATAGAGTGGCCTTCGATTCACTTGACGTCTGATGAGAAGCAGCAGGCAGCTTCATTGATGGAATTAGCAGTAGACTCTCTAGCATTGTGTATGGATGGTAAATCCCTTCAAAGTGAAGCAACTCTTAGGGCTGCACAACTGTTTGCTATCAACCACATCAAGTGTGTTGAGGTGCTCGAAGGCTTAGAATGTAGTAAAACCTTATTAAAAAATTACGCTAAATTGTATCCATCATGCCTTGAACTTGTTTTGATGTTGGCTCGGGTAGAAAATAATATTTGGAATACGAGTTTTGTTGGGTTCGAAGAAGCTCTTAGTAACTGGCAGGATGAAGCCCCTGGAATTCAGTGTATTTGGAATCAGTATGCCGAATGCGCACTCCGAAATGGAATATCGACTTTTGCTAAGGAACTAATGGATAGATGGTTTGACTCTGTTTGGAAAGTAGGATGTTCTCAAAATAGAATTCTTAATGCGGTACAGGGTGGAAATTCCCAGAATGTCTGGCAACCTGCTTCGGTGTCAGATCTGTGTACATGGTTTTCTCATCACGACCAGATTGATGTCATGTTTGCGCTACTGAATTTCTCTCTCTACAAAATATTTCAGAACGATGATACTGAAGCTCTCCTAGCCTTGGAGAGAGCTTTGAAAGCTGCTACTACTGCAGAGAATTACAGTTACTGTGTGGGAGAGCATGTCCACTTTTTGCTTACAAATAGAACATTACGTCATAGAAATGGTTGTAATGGAGGTATATTAAAGATTCTGAACGATTATCTAGATGATGCCCCGGCATCTTCTGAACCATTATCTAGAGACTTCATTCAGAAAATTGAGAAACCAAGGTTGAGGCAATTAATTAGCAAATTGTTGAGTCCTGTATCATCAGACTCTTCTCTTGTGAATTTGGTTCTTGAAATATTGTACGGTCCATCTCTCCTGCCTCAAATGTTTGATAAACTGACAGACCTGGTGGATTTTGTTGAATCCCTAATGGAGATTCTCCCGTCGAATTATCGGTTAGCGATTTCTGTGTGCAAACTATTAAGCACGAATTCTGATAATGGTGGTAATGTTGCTGTTTCTTTCTGGGCAAGTTCACTTGTTGTAAATTCACTGTTTCAAGCTGTTCCTATAGCTCCAGAGTCCGTGTGGGTGGAAGCAGCGAATATTTTGCAGAATTTGGCAGATTCTCGGACGATCTGTGAGAGTTTCCTTAATAGAGCTTTGTCTGTATATCCTTTTTCGATCAACCTGTGGAGATGCTATCTCAACTTACCCAGACCTGGAGAAAATGCAAATGCCGTGAAAGCAGCAGCAAGAGAGAAGGGAATTATGCTCGATTAAGAGCGAAGTATTGGCCCTTGAGGATGTTTCCTTGCCATATAACCATAGCAAATTTTGGGCGAGCTTTAGCTAGCAATAGTTGTAGATTTTGGTGCCGTGTAGGAATCTCGTAAGGCATACATATATAGATAGACAACCAAGTAGGTTTTATCGGTGAGCCTTTGGAATATATTTTTTTGATACAGATGTTTCTCTTGTTGAGATGTACCATCTTACTATCGAATTGATAGTGTTTCATTTCATTCTCACTCATTGTGTAAGAGCTTGGCTTACCAGAAAGTCATTCAGCTATATACATGCATGGAAAAGTTTCTAAGAATTGAGAATTTCTGATTTTCTGTGGTCTATAATGTGATTGCTGAGAAAACATGTACTGGATTGCATATTCAGCCTGAAATGTTTTCTTGAGTTAGATGATGTACTTCGAAGAATTGCTTCAACTTAACACGATGATGACACGTAAAATTTTTCTGACAACTTCATTACATACTGTTGTAAACAAACTGTTACAAGATTTTAACAAAAAAACGATAATTAGAATACGCGAAGTCAATGAATTTAGAGTCGGTACGTATATTAAATTTTTTCGCTCTAAAACAAGAATGGGAAAGAAGAAATACTGAACATGCGTCACTCTCATAAAGATCTTCAAAAACATCAGTTGCTTGGTTGGAAGATTAGTTAGATGAATACTATTTGCCACAATCTCATATTGATCTTGTAACGCCTAGTCATGTTGGCTGCGTAATTTTATGATTTTGCATTTTTCATACATTGCCACAATGGGGACTCGACTAATGGTGTAAACAGATGCCTTGGTATCGAGCTTACTAAGGGAGTACATCGGGCGAGGAATCCCTTGTTTGATTGGTGATGCAGTATAAGAGTAGAATGCACTTTATTCTATTTTAAGCTTGCACTTTATTCTATTTTAAGCTTTAGCAATACTATCAACTCGCATTGACTTACTCCGTGTTCAACCTTCATCCACCGCTCTCCTCTTCTTAGTGCAAGATTCGGAAAACATGTTAATGGGGTTAGATTCATGTTGAGACTTGGACATGTTTTGCATGCTGCATTGAGTACCAAACAAACAATTGACATATATATCGAATGTGTCTCCTTTTAAGTCATGACAAACTGAATTCAAAATGTACCACGTCACTACGATCTTTGGGTCATTTAAAATTTGGCAAGAAACAGGACAAACTATCTCCGTTCCATGAAAAAGATTGTGAACTAGCCATTAAATAAATTATTATCACGTCACTGCTTCGTCCTTTCCTTGTATATGGCTACATTCTCATATGCTTCTCTTCTGAATTCTTCCGATTCATGTAGCTGCAGTATTCTTGTTTCTCTAGCCTTTTCGAGGTCCATGTTTAACTGTTTCAATACCCAGTATGCTCTATGTTCAAACTCCACTGATAGGTGGCATGCTTTTCTAAAGACTAGTCGATATGAGGACATTCTAATAGGTGTCTTGTAAGCAGTGCGATACGTCCACAAAGCATCGTCTAATTTTTTTGACCAATTCTTGCAAGATGCATTTACAGTGAGCTCCATAATTCTTTTCAATTGTCTGTTCAAGGTTTCCACCTGTCCACTTGTCTGAGGGTGGTAAGAGTGGCAATTCGATATTATACTCCGTACTTATGTAGCACTGCCTGGAATAACCGATTGTGAAAATGAGGTCCACCATCACTTATTATGACCCTCAGTGATCCATAGCGGTTAAAGACGTGTTTCTTTATGAAGTCCATCACCACCTTTGCGTCATTTGTAGGCAACGCTTTAACTTCTACCCATTTAGAGACATAATACACTGCCACTAGGATGTACCGATTGATGGAAAAGGACCGATAAAATCAACCCCCAAACATCAAATATTTCCACCTCTAAAATGTTGTTAAGTGGCATCTCGTGACGTGCTGATATGTTACCTGTTCTCTGACATTTATCACATGACCTGTAGAAACTGTGGCAGTCCTTGAACAGTGTAGGCCAAAAGAAACCACATTGAAGCACCTTTACTGCTGTTTTAGTGGAGTCAAAATGTCCTCTATAAGCCGAAACATGAACTCGTGAAAGGATCGGTTTCATCTCATCCTCTGGCACACATCTCCTAATGATTTAGTCTGCCCCTCTCCTGTATAAATTTGGATCATCCCAATAATAAAATTTCGCTTCATGAAGTAGCTTCTTTTCCTGCTGATAGGTGAGATCGGGATCCATATAGCAATTAGCTAAGTAATTAACAATGTTTGTATACCACGGAGCTTTTTCTATCTGCAATAACTGCTCATCTGGGAAGATATCATTAATATCCGCATCATCTGAATCACGTAGTTGCTCCAGCCTTGATAAATGATCCACTACCTGATTTTTCGTACCCTTTTTGTCGCGAATTTCAATGTCAAACTCCAGTAGTAATAGAACCCATCGAATTAGCCTAGGTTTAGCATCATTCTTCTCAAACAGATATTTCAATGCTGTATGGTCAGTGTAGACTATCACCTTTGAACCAATCAGATAGGAACGAAATTTGTTGAAGGCAAAGGCCACTATTAGCATCTCTTTTTCTGTTGTTGCATAATTGATCTGAGTATCTCTCAAGGTTTTGCTGGCATAGTAGATTACATGTTACGTTGGCCAAGCACCACTCCCACTGCAAACTCACTAGCATCACACATAAGTTCAAAAGGTAGATCCCAATTAGGTGCTACTATCACAGGTGTAGAAGTTAACTTTTCTTTCAAAGTATTAAAGGCATTTAAGCATTCATCAAAAAAGTGAAAAGGTACATCCTTCTCCAATAGGTTACACAGAGGTTTTGTAATTTTTGAAAAATCTTTAATGAACCTTCTGTAAAATTCTGCATGTCCTAAGAAGCTTCTCATCCCCTTAACTGACTTAGGAGACTGCAATTTTTCAATCATTTGTATCTTGACTTTGTCAACTTCAATGCCCTTTGACGAGATCCTGTGGCCCAACACTATCCCCTCTTTTACCATGAAATGACATTTTTTCCAATTTAGCACTAGGTTCTTCTCTTCACATTTTTGCAATACAAGAGTCAACCGATCCAAGTAGTCATCAAATGAATCTCCAAACACAGAAAAATCATCCATGAATACCTCGATGTATTTTTCCACCATGTCAGAGAATATGGCTATCATGCACCGTTGAAAGGTTAAGGGTGCATTGCATAAACCAAAATGTATCATTTTAAACGCAAAAGTTCCATAGGGGCATGTGAAGGTTGTTTTCTCCTGGTCTTCTGGAGCAATAACTATCTGATTGTACCCAGAATATCCGTCTAGAAAGCAGTAATAAGAATGACCTGCCAACCTCTCCAACATTTGATCAATGAATGGCAATGAAAAATGATCATTTCTGGTTGCATAGTTTAGTTTCCTATAATCTATACATACTCTCTACCCTGTCACTAACTGTGTTGGTATCAGCTTGTTGTTCTTGTTCTTCTCCACTGTGATTCCACCTTTTTAGGACAACATGCACTGGACTCACCCATGAACTATCAGGGATTAGATAGATAATAACTGCATCCAACAATTTCAGCACTTCTTTTCGCACTACTTCTTTCAAGGTTGGATTTAATCTGCATTGTCCTTCCACTGATGGTTTTGACCCATCCTCCATTAAAATCTTGTGCATACAAAGAGTTGGACTGATTCCTCTGATATCAGCTATTGTCCATCCAATTGCCGTTTTGTGCTGCTTGAGTACCTCCAACAATTTATTCTCCTATTCCATTGTCATGTCATTTGCAATAATTACTGGAAGTGTTGTAGATTCTCCCAAAAATGCATAACGTAAGTGTGAAGGCAAGGGCTTTAGTTCAAGAGTGGGTGCCTTGTCCACTGAGGGTACTGGGGATGAAGGGTTGTCACCAAGAGATTCATACTGTCAATGTCTCCTTCCTATTGGTTGCTCGACAAAGTTGACAACATATTCAGCTTTTCCTGCAATTGTTGCTTTCGACTGCACAAGTTCTACCTCACAAAGATTTGTTCAATGCTCTATCAAAAATGTATCTACCACAAGTTCTTCAAGAACATCTACTTGGCAACAAGTGTCTGAAGTCAATGGATGTTTCATCGCCTTGAACATGTTGAATATGACTTACTCATTGTCCACCCGAAGAATCATCTTTCCATCGTAAACATCAATCAGCGCTCTTTCGATAGCCAAGAAGGGTCTTCCCAAGATTAGAGAGATGTTTGAATCTTCCTCCATGTCCAAAACGATGAAGTTAGCCGGAAAAATGAATTTATCAACTTTCACTAGCACATCTTCAATAATCCCCTTCGATCGTTTGATTGATCTATCAGCCAGTTGTAATGAGATTGTTATAGATTTCGCTTCTCCCAATCCAAGAGACCTATAAACAGAGAGGGGCATCAAATTAACATTGACACCTAAATCACATAAAGAATGTTCAAAATAATTAAAATCAATTGTGCAAGGTATCGTGAAACTCCTAGGGTCTTTTAGTTTAGGAGGTAGCTTTTTCAATAGAATTGCACTGCACTTCTCGTTCAGGCAGACTGTCTCATGTTCTTCCAGCTTCCTTTTGTTAGACAGGATGTCATTCAAGAATTTAGCATAGCTGGGCATTTGGGTAATTGCATCTGCAAACAGAATGTTGATGTGCAGTTTATTGAAAATCTCCACAAACTTGGCAAACTGCTCGTCCAACTTCTTTCTCTGTAACCTTTCAGGGAAGGAAATTGGTGGCACGTAAACTTTCACGGGGCTAGGTGCTCTCACTGTGGGTGTTTCTTTCCTTTTATCCACCTCATTAGTTGATTGTTTAGACTCTGCTTCTGTCCCAACCTTTTCACCCATTACTTCTTTGTCTTTTCTGCCTGGTCTTTTCACATGTATCTCTGGAAGTTGCACCACACTTCTAGTTGTAATAGCTTGCACATGCTTTTTTGGATTGACCATTGTGTTACCTGGCAATGTCCCTTGTGGATGTTCTGCAAGCTGTTGAGCTAACTGTCCAATTTGAGTTTTCGATTTCTTGATGGATGCTTGCTGATTTTGAAAGTTAGTATCAATCTGCTGGAATACCTTGTCTGTCTTTTGCATGTATTGGTTGAACATCTCCTCCAAATTTGATTTTTTCTCTGGTTGTTTATTGTTTGAACTGCTCCCTTGCTAATTATCTGATCATCTGAAGTTTGGGTGTTACCTCCATCCTAGGTTATATGTTTGTGAAAATGGATTAAAATTTCGAGAGCCATTTTGAATGAAGTTGACTTGTTCTTCCGGAAACCCCATAGATGTGCAATTTTCTGTTAGGTGATTTGCTCCACAATTTATGCAGGATGGTCCAGTTATCACTGCATGTGCTCCTTTGTTTGTGACTTCACCAATAACTCTACCTGTTTTGTCAATGCTGCTATTTAGGTGTTGGAAGATGCTATGTTGTCTAATTCATAAATTTTCGCTGCTTTTGGAGGCACCACTCTTTCTGATGAAAACATGGAATGAGTAGTAGCAATCAACTCAAACAGATCCATACATTGTTGTACTGATTTCCTTATGATCGATCCAGTTGCAGAGGAATCCACTTGAGATTTGGATAATGGTGAAAGTCCCGTGTAGAAATACTGCACTTGATTTCCAATAGTGATCCCATGATTTGGGCACTTCCTCATCAACTCCTTAAATCTGTTCCAGGCCTCGTGATAGCTCTCCCCATCTTTCTGTTGAAAGGTTTGAATTTCCAGTTTGATTTTTGCTACTTTAGTTGGTGGAAAGAACTTATTGCAAAATTTTCTAGTAAGTTCCTCTCATGTGATAATACTTCCATCCGGTTCGGCATCTAGCCATTCCAATGCTGCATCTCTTAGTGTATATGAGAATAATCGCAGCTTGATGGCGTCCTCATTAACCCCAGGAGCATGACAATTCTGGCAATTCCTGAGAAACTTTGAGATATGTGTGTTTGGATTCTCATGAGGTAATCCGTAGAACTGCAGAGTGTTGCAAATCAAATTAATCCAATGAGCCCGTATTTGGAAGTTGTTTACCCCAAAAATCTGGATATACTATGCTGGATCGTGCAGGTGCTGCTATAGGCGTCAAAAACATAGAAACTGACAAGTCCCCTTCATTTACTTCCCTTTGCTCTTATCGTTGAGCTCTCGCGACCATTTGTCCAATTGACTGTATATGGATATGATTGTTTAGATTGTCAGTCATTTGATGCTGCTGTTTTTGTTTGTGTTCACTGCGTCTTCGTCTAAAGGTACGTTCTATTTTCGAATCAAACAGTTCAAAATCATCGTCTTGGACACGGAGCATACAATGAACATAGTTTTCTGTAAATAAAAGAAAATAAGCAAATCCAATAATAATTAAAAATAAAATAAATAAATTAAGACTAAAAATAATAGTTCTCGACAACGGTGCCAAAAACTTGTTTCGATTTTATCCTGCAAGTGGACGGATCGTAAAAAGTAATAAAGTGGACCTTTTGAGTCCGGATTATCGTTCCCACGAGAACTATACTTTAGTACTCAATTTATTATTCCTAACTTCTATTCAATAAAAAAAAATGATTAGATGTGATTTTTAAATCTAACAACTAAAATTTTCGTGAATGCAATAGAAAATGAGCGAGAATTTAATTAATAAATGGAGATTAGGGCGGAACAAATTCACTTATTGGTCACCTTTATTTCTAATATCGAAATTCATAAAATTAAAGTAGTGTTCGGTCGAATTCTTCTATGGTATTCAATTTACCCCTCTCGAGTTCTTATTGAACCTATTTAAATAATTCAATTTTGTATCTCTATACGAACCAACATTATTTAAACGAAATAATAGTTCTAAGAATTCCTATAGGACCGCAGTAATTAATATATGTATCTCTATATGTTATATTAATTTACCGAATTTTAATATGTGGTTTAAACAAGAATCTGCATCTCTACGTAATTATTGTTCACGATATCCTTGAATAATAGACAAGAAAATTCAAAGCATTAAACACATAATTAAAATTCACACATAAAATATAAAATAATAAGAATCTCAAATAAAAAAATAAAGGATCTCAAATTAGTTACATTATTCTTCCTAAAATTAAATTTAGTTACGCATATTAATTTAAGAAAAACAAGAAATTATGAAGTTCATCACCAGATTAATTGACGGAATGTGAATAATTTTCGGTTATGCTGTCTGCCGTCTCCTTCGTCTGTGAGGGGCTATGAAATTCTCTTTAATGACAGCAAAAATAATTTTTCCCTAAATATTTATTAGCTGTGCCTCTTTTTCCGTGCGTGTCAAAGAAATTGGCAGAAGGTGTGTGGAAAATATATAATAATAATGGCTATTTTTTTATTTTTATTTTTTGTTTTTTCTCTCCTCTCCCAGCAGCCGCAGAAATTAACTCCTCTTTCTCTAGGTTTGTACACAAGTTTGTACGTGTGTGTATATAAATAAATATAACATCTAACCTTGTAGCCACCTTTGTTGACTAAAAAAAAGACTCCAATTCCTTGTCAACCCGTGTCTTCGGCCACTTTAATAAGAACTCTAATTCATGCATGCATGTAGAGATCAAATCAACAACCAATTGATACAATTAATTGTTAAATTATTATTCAAGTCCTCCATCTTTCAAAGTAATGCAATTCAATCTTTGAATCATTTTATTCTTGCAACCCATGTTTTCTTTGATTCAATTCAAGTCCTTTACCTTCCAAAATATTCAGTTTGATATCCAAACATTTCAATCATCTTCTCATGGTCCGGATCAACTATTGAATTGTTACAACTTGGTCCCCAAACTTTTGGATTTCGCTCTTTTTTTTTCGCTTCATTCTTTCAATTCCTTTTCCTTCATAAAATTTCACCTATTAACATATAAGACAAAAATTGAGGATATAATTTGTTAAAAGAACCATCAAATATCGCTATTTAAAGTACCGAATAAGTGTATAAAATACACTATTCTACTCCAAAGACTTATTTCTTCAGGAGGATATTGATGTTAACATTACAACTACAATTCAATTGTTTTCCGGATTGAATTTAAGGGCATGCTCGATGTAGGTTTTTTGAGAATGGATTGTGTGAAAAGTGTTTTTCTGGGAGAACTTGTAAGTAAAAAGTAGGAAAAAACTATGCACCCACATGTAAAATTATTTTATTGAGAGAATACGTAATTGAAAATGAGTTTGAATAATAAAAATGAGTTTTAAAGAATTTGTATCAAACATGGGCGAAATGTTGCAAATTTGTGAACTTAAATCGTTTCTATCTTTCGTTTTTGTTGAACTACTTGATCTAATTAAAATTTAAATATTATCTTCAACAATTTTAGATCAAGACTTATTCATGTTATCATGGAAGTCTTGCATGTTTTGTAAATGTATATATGATCAATGAATGCAGGTTGAGCAAACCTACACCTTAAAATGGAAGATTGAGATGAAAATAGCAAAATAAATAAATAGAGGATAAAAATACTAAAAGAGTGCTTCTATCGAAAAAAGAGAGAGAAAAATACTGTAAGAGTATAAGTTGGTGTCATTGCATGGAAATTCGTGGTATTATTATCGTATAGGCTACTCTCCAAAATATATGCATAGCTTTATACTAGTTAGGTAAATCCCGTCATTTGGCTATGAATTTATTTTGATTGATTTTTGATAATTTACTTCATCAAAAAGTTGTATTAATATCTAAATTTCTTCCTTTCTCTAGCAAATTTCCTATGGGATGGAAATATGGAAACAGCACATTTTTTAAAACTTCATGCTTAAGATCCTCAACCTTAGTTCGTGCAATCTATTGATTTTTGTAGAGAGTCGTTATTTTTATCTATCATTTTTATATATCATCTATTTTTTATTTTATTTTTTTGAAAGATTTCTGTTAATACATCACCATATCCATAATATTTGACTCAAGGGTCAAGAAGTATTCATTGAATTTAAGTAACTGTCAATATTACCATATAAGATACTCATCTTTAATTGCATTTACTGTTCAAATTAACTTAATGAATATAATTAATTCCAGCTCTTTCTATGGATGTAGATAAAACAATTAAAATTATTCATTAGAACACCAAGCAATACATTCTAGCACGTTATCAAGCATTACATAGTTTATTTTAATTGCAACTGCTGCTAGAATTATTAATTTTTAAAAATTCCAGGAAAATAAATAAAAAATTATAACATTATTACAAATTAACGTGCAAAGCACGCGCTTGCCACCCTAAAAACATCCTTCACAAACGCCCATGCAGCCCCATACTCTGCAACACCTCTTTCCAAAGCTTTACACCGCAACAACGGTGGAAAAAATAGCCAAAAGCCCGTTATAAAAAGAAATCCAACGGTGTAGATCCTCGCAATAATCTTGGGTACGTGGATCCTCACCCTCTTATTATTTGACTTTTTCACCGCAATCTCAGCCGTTAAACCCGCTCCTTGAAGCACGAAAAACCAGGTGACTTCCCAGGTGGGTTTCGCCCGGCCCAAATAGAAGAATATGAGCTCATGAATGAGGCCCGATACTACAAAAGTGGACATTATAGCTGGGAGTGCAGCCCATTTCTGCCCCAAAATGTTAATTGACCATCTACGTACAGGGATGTATATCATAGGACGCAGAACACGGGATACCATGATGTTCCACCTACGACCCCAAAAATCATGCAGTGAGGTCGAAAGGTATGGCTCATTGAACTGTGGCTCCAGTTCGATTCCAAGCAGGGCCCGAACCATGGCTGCAGCAATTGCTAACCCAATCTCCAAGAAAAAGTACACGTAAATACTGTACATTCCAAGAATAATTGTTTGATGTATATAATCACTATAGTCGTGATTAATCTTGATTAAGAAAGCAAGCAAAAGACCCTTTCTAGCATAGTTGAAAAGTGAGTTATGGGCTTTTTCAGTTTGAGAGGTTTTAAGCTTAATGGGGAGACCAGCAATGGCGAGAAACGTTGGGAGGGAGAGTTCTGAAAGGTCGGATAGAGGGCCTTTATTGAACGCGAACATGAGTAGCTTTAAGTTGGCTAGCATTGTGATAGAGAAGGAGGTGAAGCCCACAAAGTTAACGGA